ACTCTACTCGAAAACGCCAATAAACAGGTAAAATTGCCAGAGATTTTACGTGAATGATGGCAAATATTACCCACTGGTTTTAGAAGAATTCACAATGCCACGCTCTACAAGTACAACCTCGTTGGCTTTAAAAACGGAAATGAAGTGAAAAATTAACGCGATCCTGCGCAAGGAAAGAAGCACGCGTACAAGTGGCGCCATCTCACCTATATCCTGCCTAACGTAGCAAGCGGTAATTTTGAAATTTGAATATAAATAAACTAAACTGTTACACCCCCCCTCTCCTTCGACAGGAGGGAAACTACAAGTTTTCCGACGATCGAAAAACCCAGCACACACACTCGAAAAGGAAGCAAACAAATTGAAAACCCGAAAACCCACCCCAGTGTAAAAAAAACTCCCCCCCAAAGAATTTCACCTTCAAAGAATTTTCCCAGGTTCTCCAGCAGCGGAAAAGGTATGCAAAATCGGGTATTGACATGCCCTCGCGTAAAGATGGAATCTCGCGCCGTCGGGTATCATGACAATAGCAACCCCTTTCCCACAACCCAATCCAACTACTAGTCACCCCCAAGAAAACCAAATCCAGTGCCCACCCAGAAGAAAGAAACCCTACAGTTTCAAGTGATGCAGCACCAAAATCCCCAAAATAAAGAAACCCCCCTCCCTGACTAAAAACGACACAAAAGCCCAAATTTTGACCCCCTTGCCGAAAAAGTGTAGAAGGAAACCCCCCAAAAAGAAGGTACCTTTCCAACCCAACTCCACCATGCACTAGCGCAATGAAATGAAGAAGGTGCTATGGATAGAAGACAGTAAGAGAGAAAGAAGAAATCACATTTGCGGAGAAAAAAAAAACTCATTCATGCCGATTCCAGGGGTCCCATGGTCACCGAGGCTCGCACAGGGAAGGCGCACCCACCCCCTTCCTCTTGTGTGTCAACTACCCATCCATTCAAACATTCATTCATTCTATGGAACGGAAATGGAAGAAAGAAGAGTAGAAAAAGATAGAATATAGGAAAGCGAAAAGAAAAGGGCAACCTCTCCCAAATTTCCCCTGAGGAAATTAGAAGAAGAAAAGTGTTTGAGGTGCAGATAGAAAAAGAAAGAAGGAGGATAATGGATCGGGACGAATCCCCTAGCAGGTGTTGTTGCTACGATCCGAGAGTCCATCCCCTGTGCCCAACCAAACCACCCAAAAAGTAAGAAGAAGAAGAAATATGGAACATATAACATATAAATACATATATCAAAGTCAAATCCAAGAATAAGAATACGTCAAAATTAGTGGTTCAAAATCGTCAACAAACAAGCAATCCGGCGACAATAAATGTCTAACCATGATCATCGGGTTCAATATAAGGTTTGAGATCCTGGACGTGCCACGTTCCAGAAGATTTACCATTAGAATCTTTCAACTCATAGGTCAAATACCCCATTTTACGGCTAACCGTAAATGGTCCTAAAAATCTGGGGGCTAACTTCGCTGAATAATCTTTAGTGGCATCAGACAAAGTCTTATTTTTACGCCAAACCAAATCTCCTATCTCATAGTTAACATGCCTACGTCGTAAGTCATAATGTTGCTTGTTGCGGTCATGACTGTCTTTAATGCGTGCAATAATTTTGTCGTACAGTCCTTGCTGTTGCGCTAACCGTTGTTCTACGTCAATCGGCTCATTGTCCGTCATGTCAGTGTCGAAGCTGTCCCCTCGAATACGAAATTCTTTCCCAAAATTAGCACGATAGGGAGTCACACCTATGGTTTCGTGCTTAGAAGTTCGAAGAGCACAAGCTATCGAAGCTAAATGAACGTCCCAATGTTTGTGATTGTTCTTAACGTAAGTGGCTATCAATTGCTTTACCACACGATTCACCCTCTCCGCAGGATCAGCCTGTGGATGATAAAAAGGAGTAAACCGAACCTTTACACGGTAGCTTTCACACAGATCTAAGAAGAGTCTACTGCGCATCTGCACGCCATTGTCACAAATAAGGAATTGTGGAGCTCCATACACAAGAAATACAGAATCTTCAATACATTTGACAAGAGTTTTGGCATTCGCCGTCCTTATGGGAAAAAGAAGTACAAATTTACTCATATAGTCACTAACAACTAATAAATGAGTTCGCCCTTGAGTGGATCGAGGTAAAGGACCAATAAAATCTAAGCTGATCATCTGCCACGGTTCATAAATTTGAGGATGTGAACCCATAAGCCCTGCAGGTCGAAGTTGTTCAGGTTTATGTTGTGCACAGGTGGTACAGCGAGAAATATAACGCTTAATATCGCACTTCATTCTCGGCCAATAATATCGGTGATGAATGCGCCAAAAGGTCTTATAAACACCAAGGTGTCCTGAAGTAACATTATTGTGGTTCTCTTGTATAAGAGATTGTCTAAAATCAGAAGGAACAACAAGTTTCCATTTTTCATAATCATGAGATTGTAAAGCGGACTTGATATATTTATACAACAACGAATCTTTCACTCGCCAATCGGGATATTTATGAGGACTTCGCTCTAATCTTTCAAACATACCAAGGTACCAAGGGTCTTTAGAAGTTTTGAAATCGTTCGGATCCACCGTAACATCTGAAGAATGTACAGCTTCGATCACAGGTACAGTACGTGACAAAAGATCGGGAACAATATTGTCCTTGCCTTTACGATGGACAAGAGTAAAGGTATACGGCTGTAAACGAAGAGCCCAGCGTGCTAAACGTCCTTGGGGGTCTTTCAAAGAATGCAACCACAAAAGAGAATGGTGGTCAGTAATGACTGTAAAAGAAACTCCCTCGAGGTAATGTCGAAGTTGCTCTACCGCCCAAATGACTGCTAAGCACTCACGTTCAGTCGTGCTGTAATTTTGTTCCGCTCGGGATAATGATCGGGATAAATAACATACCACTCGCTCCCCATCCGGAAAAGTTTGAGTCAAGACAGCTCCTAGCCCATAAGCAGAAGCATCGGTCTGAAGGACAAAAGGTTTGGTAAAATCCGGGCAATTGAGCACAGGTGCAGTTGCCAAAAGTTCTTTTAATTTGAGAAAAGATTCCTCACATTCAGACGTCCATTCAAATTTAACATTTTTCCGAAGAAGTCTGGTTAAAGGAGCAAGAACGGTTGAAAAATCAGGAATGAACCTACGGTACCAACCGCAAGTTCCTAAGAAACGTCGTATATCATTCACCGTAGTGGGTGTTGGAATATCTAAAATCGCCTTGACTTTGTCAGGATCTGGGTGTAAGCCAAAGGAATCCACAACATACCCTAAATACTTAAGTTCTGAACGGCAGAAGTGACATTTGTTTTTATTCAGAGTGAAGCCAGCAGCAATTAATTTGTCAAAAACGGTGTTCAAAATTTTTAAATGTGAGTCAAAGTCTTGTGATATAATAACCACATCGTCCAAATAAACCAAAACGTTGGGTTGCAATTCAGGTCCCAAAATGGTATCGATAATGCGCTGAAAAGTCGCAGGGGCATTAGTCAAGCCGAAGGGCATCCTTCGAAATTGGAAAAGACCACGACCAGGCACAGTAAAAGCTGTGAAAGGGCGCGAATTCTCAGCAACCTCTATTTGCCAATAAGCTGACTTAATGTCCAGGGAACTAAGATATTTAGCGTCACGTAATTGGTCTAAGATGGTATTGATATAGGGCAAAGGAAAAGCGTCGCGCTCAGTTAAAGAGTTAAGTTTCCTATAGTCCACACAAAATCTATAGGTTTTGTCTTTCTTGGGAATCAGACAGACAGGTGAAGCCCATCCGCTGTTCGATGGTTCGATGACTCTGTCCCTAAGCATCTCATCAATGGTGTCGTTAATGATTTTCTGTTTAATCGGATTTACTGGATAGTACCGCTGTTTAATAGGAACAGCGCCCTCTACCAGGCGTATCTCGTGTCTACCTACTGGGGTTAATCCTAACTTGTCTCCCATGAGCGAAAATTTCAGATCTAAGAGGGTTTGTAAAGAATGGTGTTGTTCATCAGTGAGACGAGACTGTTCCACTATGGCCACACTAGGTTGAGTTGGCGTGCAAGAAGTAAAATGCCAACAGTCATCGCTAATATTCGGAATGATACCCATCCTATCCCAAAAATCTACTCCCAGGATTAAATTAGTAACCAAATCAGGCATCACCAACAAATCTAACAGCACAGTACGATCCTTTAAGGTAATTGGCACAGTGATGTAACCAATCGAATGTGCATCGGAGCTATTTGCTACCGTACAAGAAATAACTTTCGGTACAAAATTGAAATTGAGTATTTGCAATTGAATTAAAGTATCGGAATTGATAAAAGAACGTGAAGCGCCAGAATCTAATAATCCCAAAAAAGGAATGTCTAAAATTTTAATTTGGACATAAGGTCTCAAGTCATTTCCCACATGCTGTAATAAAAAGTCAAGTTTAGGTTTGGAAGAAATTTTCAAAATTTTTGTCG